GTCCACGTTGCACATTACGTAAAGTAACATAGTTTATTTTATGTAGGTGTAGCATTGTCCTTGTATTAATTGCACTTAGTCCCTTGTTTTTTTTCACGGGCAGTTAGTCCCCTTGTTGTTAAACATCATGTTCAAGGGGATGACTTTTGCATGTGTAAATTTAAGTAAATAAAATACTGTAGCTAACTGTTCAATAAAAATTACAAAGCTCATTGCACCATGTGAGTACAAATCCCCTGATTATATTATAAAAGTAATGCTTACTCCCTGGCACATATGAACCTTGAAATAAACAAAAATCTAGTTCTATCAAATATGGATGAAGATAGATAGACATGTGGCAGTGGATAGATTTTTCAAAGAATCAACCGTCTAGCACACTAGCCTTGGTAAACAATATGTAAAAGATAAAAAAAATCAAGAAAACGCAAATGACCTTTGCGTTTCATTGCATTGAAAGGATGGGGGAAAGTTATAGTCCTCCTTGGAGGTTAATATTGCAGTACATCATACAACTCAGTGGACATCCCAGGATTGGCGCAGAACAACCCGCGGGTCTTGTGCCCCTGCCTTAGCCCATCATTGGATCTCATCCTTGATCTTGTTGAGGATCCCGATGATGGAAGACATCGCGTTGTCTAAGACGCATTCACTGTTTGATAATTTGGCCGAACATAGCGCCTAGCACTATTTGATGTCATTGGCGATATTCTTGGCATCTTCTGCAATACCAGCCAATCCTCTCCTTCCTAACCCAGCACAGTAGATCCCATTTTCACCTTTCCAATGATTCGGATATTCTTTGATGGGCAGTCCATTGCCATTTAACATGCTCTCACCATTCTGGGATAAAAAATAACATAGAGCTTGTTAGCAGATTTAACAATTGTTGCACCAAGAAAACAAACTCAGACATATTCAAACAACAATGTTGTTACCTTGAGCCATATATTTGTTGTGCTTTTGTATCCAGTTGCAAACACAATCACGTTAAATGATATCTTTTTACTGCACTGAAATTCAACTATATCGCCCATGATGTTACTAATGCTCCCATGTACCTGTAGGAGATGAATAGAATATTGATAACTTGGCATATAAAGATAACATATGCTATAAAATGTATGTCATGTTAAGGCTATACTTACTTTGATGATACCTTTTTTGATTAACCCAACAGTGCCAACATCAATAACAGTGGATCGGCCGGTTTTTTACTTGAGGATCATTGGACCCATTTTTGGCCTTCTGATGCCATACCTCGATAGGTCTCCAAATATTAAATTCGCCGCCATCACAAGGAGGTTATCCACTAGATTCAGTGGAAGACGGCGAGCAAGTGTCATCCCCAACCGGATTAGTTCCTTTGTCACTACATGAATCTGCAACCACAAAACTTGTCACATCTCTTTTGAAGCATGCATCATAAAATAAAATTTCATAGAATCATCTTCTTTCAAGAGCTAATTTTTCGGTGTAGTTCGTCTAATTGCTTAGTTGTTTGTGCATGTTATAAAATAGTCTATCTCTCTATACCATGAAATACTTCTAGTAATAACTCTGGAAAATAGCATCCATCTAGTGGTGGTTATAATAAGAAATTTCCATGTACCCACTGAAAATATATAGTGCCCGTAGGGTGGGGTGGGGGATTCGCTAGTGTTTCCAGGTCAAAAAATAATATATAGTGCATGTACATACCGGGCTTCGTATAACAACTGAAGTATTGGCACCATGGGCCACAAGGTCATAAGCAATTTCCATTCCGGAGTTGCCAGATCCAACAACCAATACATTCATGCCAGAGTAGCTCTTGCCTGACTTGTAGCTTGAGGAGTGGATGACATCACCCGGAAAACTTTGCAGTCCGGGGATCATTGGAATATTCTCTGCACTATTCTCACCACTTGCCACAACAAGAAACTTTGCGGTGAACCTGACTATTGTGCTCTTTTCCATGTCATGTGCCATGATGGACCAGCATTTTTCGTCATCGTCAAATGTGGATGACTCCACACTAGTGAGATACTTGGGTTGAATATTGAAACACTCAACATAGTCATCCAAGTACTTGACAAACAAGGTTTTTGGTATGTATGTTGGAGCATCTAGTGGGTATGACATGTGTGGCAACTCATAGAACTCCTTTGCAAGATGCTGCTATTGCAAGGCCTGCTGGCCCAACGCCAACAATCAACACTACAACATTCTCCATTTCAAAGAGAACAGTTGACAAAGTTGTGGGATGGGTGCAATGGTAGGCTGGAGTGTTTTCTTGTTTGCTCGATGAATCTTTGGATGCATATATGGGCATATATATACTGGTATGCCGCATGTGTCAATCTATTTAGAATGAGGAATGAAAAAGGTAAAGATTTATTGAAGCCTTATCCTGGTGTGTACTAGTATTCCGTCTAAATATTGAACTATTGGTGTGAAAGCATGTCCTGATACATTATAGAGGATACAAAATAGGCAGGAAATGCACTCTTGATCGATTTTTTTTGGAAACTTATCAACCAACTTTGGATATGTTTAGACTAAAATCTCTTTTGAATTTCTTTCCATTCTCGTTGTCATCAATGAAAATTCATACGGGATAAGGATATGTTAAGTATATACTCCCTCCATCCCAAATTATTTGTCGCTGAAATGTATGTATCTAGACATATTTTTAGTTCTAGATACATCCATTTCTATCCATTTTCAGGACGTAATTCGGGACGGGGGAGTGTTGAAAGATCGTGGATGTCGCCTAGAGGGGGGGGGGTGAATTGGTGCATTAACATAATTATGATTTAGGCTTGAACAAATGCAGAATAAAAGTAGCATTTAATTTGTCAAGCACGTAATCTAAAATAACTAGGCTCACCTATGTGCACCAACAACTTATGCTAAGCAAGATAAATAACTAGGCGATAGGAAGATACATAACATGAAACACTATGGCTATCACAAAGTAAAGTGCATAAGTAAAGGGGTCGGGTAAGAGATAACCGAGGCAGCGGAGACATGATGTATCCCGAAGTTCACACCCTTGCGGATGCTAATCTCCGTTTGGAGTGGTGTGGAGGCACAATGCTCCCCAAGAAGCCACTAGGGCCATCGTAATCTCCTCACGCTCTCGCACAGTGCAAGATGTCGTGATTCCACTAAGGGACCCTTGAGGGCGGTCACCGAACCCATACAAATGGCAACCCTTGTGGCGGTGACCAAACCCGTACACTTTGGCAACCCTTGGGGGCGGTCACTGGTACCCGTAAAATTGCTCGGGGCGACCTCCACAACCCAATTGGAGATCCCGACACTTGCTCGGAGCTTTACGCCACAATGATTGAGTTTCGGCAACACCAACCATCTAGGGTATCAAGGCACCCAAGAGGAACAAACTCTAGGGTGTCCAAACACACAAGAGTAACAAGCTTCTCAACTTCACTTCCACGTATCACCGTGGAGAACTCAAACCGATGCACCAAATGCAATGGCAAGGGCACACAGAGTGCCCAAGTCCTTCTCTCCCAAATCCCACCAAAGCAACTAATGATAGGGAGGAAAATGAGAGGAAGAACAAAGAAGAGAACACGAAGAACTCCAAGATCTTGATCTCAGGGGTTCCCCTCACATAGAGGAGAAAATGATTGGTGGAAACGTAGATCTAGATCTCCTCTCTCTTTTCCCTCAAGAACTAGCAAGAATCATTGGAGGGTTCGAGAGTTAGCAAGCTCGAAGAAGTTCAATAATGGAGGAAAAACACGAGCTCGAAGGATAAGGTTCAAAGGGGAAGAAGAACCCCTTTTATAGGAGGCAGAAAAATCCAACTGTTACCTTGCTCCTAGCCCGTACAGAGCGGCATTACCGCTCGGGCGGTAGTAACCCAAAAGCAGTGCAATTGCACGAAGCCACGAGGCGGTAGTGCAGCCGTAGAGGTACTACTGGTCGCCCCAGCGGTACTACCGCTAGGGTTGCAGCTCGGGGTTTCTCGGAAGTAGAGCAGGAACAGGGGAGAAGCAGTAGAACTGCTACAGCGGTACTACTACCCATCTAAGTGGTACTACTACTTATAGGCAGTAGTGTTGCCCTCCACAGCCGCTTCACCTCCGCTGAGAGTGCATCGAGACCTGGAGGGAGCGGCAGTGCAGCGATAGTAGCGTGTAGTACTACTGCTTAACGGCGGTACTACCGCTTCACACTACCGTTGCATTTTCGCGAAACCCGACATGAAAGCTGAATTCCTAGAAGCAGCGGTAGTAGGCGCGGTACCGGACAGCGGTACTACCACTTATAAGTGGTACTACCGCTAACCAGAGCGGTACTACCACTTGTGGCCTCCAGCTCAGAAGCACAACAACAAATGACTAGAAGAAAACCAGAACTGCCATAACTTCTGCAAATGAGCTCCGAATTAAGGAAACTCAAGCTTACTGGATAGATGACGATGAATACTATCCAACGGCGAAACCAAAATTGTTGCGCTCTGCGTGGCGTGATCAACAAACAAGAGTGATCGGAAGAGGACTGTACATGGTGAGGCTGACAACTGGGACCCACGAGGTCCATGGTCGCACGCAAGGAAAGTTCCTCCTTATTAAGCGGAAAAATGTTTCCTCCCCCTGACAGCTGGGACCCACCAGCTACATCTTCACATGCAAGAAATTGCCTCCTTATTACATGAAAAAAATATGATTATCAATATGACCATATCATGTACATCATTTCTCCCAAATAAATATATGTTCGGTAGATGATGTTTCTTCCATCTCTGCAACTGTAGTTGATTGTGCAGATCTATACTGCAACTTTGGTTTTACTAATGATCAAAGTCTTCACATTTTCTTAGGAATTGCATTATTTATGCTGGACTCTTTTTTTATAAACACCATATTAGGACTCGCAACATGGTCGTCGGTGTAGTAGTTTCTCTTGATGTGTATACAAACAACTACTTCACTGTATTATGTAGGACGATAGTTGATGCCACTAGAGATACTAAAGCAGTTGGAATATACCTGCAACATCTCACCTTACCATGTAGACTTGATGTGCTTTCTTCCATTTATGCTTCTAGAGATGCCATGCTCTCCACAGAGAATGACCAAAGTACTTGTCTTTGTATAAATTGTTTTTCTTTTGGTGATGTTGTTATCACTTGTATGTTCTCCACTTTATATGTGTTCATATTATTAGCATAACTATATTTATTAAGTGTGTATACATATATTCATTCTATATATAGTAACTTAGACATTTTTTCAACTTATTTGTCACTTCATTCTTACCAAAAATCATATTTATTCTATCAAAAGAAGGGATGGGCGCAACAACGCGCGCCATGATGCTCTAGTTAATTTATAATACTACCCATTGCGAGAGATTCTACACTCGTGGTTTGGTAGCAATAGCTGCCAGGACCAACAACATTTAGGCCCATCGCAAGGGGCACCATCTCGTGAGGTAGAGACCGGGGGGTGCATGCTACCCACAGGGGCAGCAACCGAACCGGGAACCAGAAATTTTTTCTTAAGACAGTCCTAATGCCAAGACCAAGGAAAAATAAGTGACACTCACTTGCATGACGAAGGGGTTGGAGATCATGAAGGTGGACTTGAGCATGGTCTCCCCGAGGAAGAAACCTTCGTTCAAGAAGAGACCGACATGCTCAAGTTCGAGGACGAGTGATTATGGTGGAGAGAGCCATCTTTTTTTTGCATGCCGGCGAGTGTGTCGACATGACCACGCCCGAGATGGCGTGGTTGAACTCCCGCCCCTTCTGTGTGCTGGCATGTGTGCCAGCCACTAGCAAGTGCGCTAGCATGAACTGTTTGGTCTTTTTTAGAAGGATGCATGTATGTCAATCGCTGGCATGGCGCTGGCATTAACTCGGGGCGATGGCATTGCCGCTGGCACGATATATAGCCACGACCCTTTTATATTTCATATGGTTTTCTGTGCGGATGGAATTGGGTCGGCTGGTTGGATGCACGGCCGAGCCAAACACAGAAGGGGGAAGATGACCTGACCCAAACGGGAAAAATGGATAAAGCGCGTGTCCTTTTGGGTCGGCGTGTTGGAGTTGCTCTGGGGTCAGCTGGAGGGTACGAGGATGGAGATGGAGATGACGCGTAGGCAGAGGCATTTCCCGGGGCCGGTGTCGCTCGCGCGGCGGAGCGGTGGGAGGCGTCGACCAGTAACCACTCCGGTAGGTGCGCTACTACTATACAATCTGTACTGCTGCCGGACAGCCGGGCTACAAAGACAAGCATAAACAGAATAGTGGGTAATAATAGAAATAAATATATGTACATACCTTTTGTTGTTGTTTGTGAGCCATTTCGGCTCCTCTTGGGGCACTCATCGCCGACTAGTTCTAGCAATTCCATTTGCACATTGATAAATGGTAGCTATAATCCAAGAAATCTGGACGCCGTGCCTATGGATGAAATCTGGATGCCATGCCTATGATAACAAAGCGCAAACTGAGAGTATACTTCATTCTCCATGCCTCTGTAGAAAGGGAGGAAATGCCAGAGAATGTCTAAACTCTAAAGGAAGTGGCGAAGCAACTGCTGAAGGTGGTTCTGAGAAGGTAATTACGTTTATGCTCGGTGGTAGACTAAACTGGAAATTAGTTTTCACTAATTAATATGGAATGAAATCATGTCCTAGCTTGAAGATTGGTGCTGAATCATGTACATATCAAGCAAAAATTAGGAGAAATTGTTATCATTCATTTCAATTACCATCATATTTCTAGAAATCGTAAATTTGATATTCATTTGACAATTAATAAATAAAAACTTGGAAGCTACTACAATTACTCGTGTGTGTCTGACATGAAAAAATGAACAACTTTGACTTGATAATCTTTTGCACCATTTGTTGTTCATGATTTGGGATTATATTAATTGCACTTAATCCCTTGTTGTTAAACATCATGTTCAAGCGGATGACTTTTGCATGTG